GTGTTCGCCACTATGAACTGTCTTTTGATGCCTTATTTCCTGCAAAAGTCATCAAATTCTTCGCTTGTGTATTCTCCTCCATTATCTATTCTGAAACACTTGATCTTATTTCCAGAATCAAGTTCCACCCGAGCTTTGAAGTTTTTGAAAGTTGAAAACACATCTGACTTCTTCTTAATATGGTACACCCAGCATCTCTTAGAGTAGTCATCAATAAATGAGACAAAGTATTTTTCTCCGCCTAGGGATGTAACCGGTGCTTGTCATACGTCAGAGTGAACCAATTCTAGAACACTTTTGCCTCTAAAATTTGACGTGTTGAATTTCAACCGGTGCTGCTTACTTGTTATGCAATGCTCACACAAGGTAAGTGATACATTTGTTAAGCCTGGAAGTAGGTTTTGCTCCATAAGGACTTTCATTCCTTGTTCTGACATGTGTCCAAGTTTCTGATGCCATAGCATTGCAGAATTTGAACTACATAAGGCAACAGAGGCTTCTGCTTCTAGCAAAGTCTCTCCCTTCAGCATGTACAAGTTTGCAACTATCTTTTCACCTTTCAGTACCACAAGCGCTCCACGGAACAACTTCATGATTCTTTTTCGTGTTTCAATCTTGCTTGCATTATTATCCAACAATCCGTAGGATAATAAATTTTTCTTCAGGCCTTTCATGTGCCGCACATCTCGAACAAATTTAATTGTTCCATCATACATCTTCAATTTGATGGTTCCCACACCAATGATCTCTAAGGCATGATCATTGCAACTATACACAGATCCTCATAAGACAGGTTCATACTGATGGAACCATTCTCTTCTTGAGGTCATGTGATATGTTGCTCCTGAATCAATGAGCCATATATCTGCAAATCTTTTTCTGCCTTCCACGGTGGTTGACGCTTCACAGCATAGAGCATCTCCATCATCTGAAGTGTTTGCGGTATTGCCTTGTGGATTGGAGTTTTTATTTAGACTCCAACAATCCTTTTTCAAGTGACCATTCTTTCCACAGTTGTAGCACTTTAAATTCTTCTTGCCTCTCGACTTTGATCTACTATGTTTGTGACTGCTGCTTTGGCCAAGTTCTGTTGATCTTCCTCTCATCGTTGTTAACGCTTCTACTTATTGCAGATTTACTTGTCTATCTTCCTTGTTCTTGTGCCGATTTTCTTCTTGTAGAACAGCAGCTGCAACGTCATCAAAGACTAGACTGGTGACATTATTGTTTGTCAAGTTGATGATGAGTTGATCGTACGAATCCGGTAGACTTTGAAGTAGAAGTTCAGCACGTTCATGTTCTCCTATTGTACATCTTAAGGATGTAAGCTGAGAAAATAACATGTTCAGTGTGTTTAAGTGCTCCATCACTGAATTAGATTCTGACATCCGGATAGTATACAATTTCCTCTTAAGAAAAATTTTATTGTGCAACGATGTGGCCTCGTACAATTTGGTGAGATGATCTCATATCTCCTTAGTTGTCTTTTTCTTCTCGATGCTTGACAATACTTCATCTGCTAATGCTAGATGAAAGTTTGCCATAGCATTCTCGTCCATCTCGTTCCATTTGTTGCACAATATCAAATTTCCACAATGAGAAATTTCTCCCATTGAATTTTTCAATATCAAATGTCGTTGCCATAGCTTCTATTACGGATAGCTCCAACTATTTCACTATCGTGAATAGTTCTCTGGAACCTTCAAAGAATGGGTAATACCTTCTTACTTTCTTATGTTGGAGGATCCACCTTTTGGTGGCAACCACAAAGACAATAAGCAGATATTACACACTCTAATCTAGCTCGGATACCAATTGTTGCGGAAGACGGCTATCGGATAGAGCAAAATCGCAACTGATAATTTGAGAAAATAAAAATGAAGATAAAAGAGACACAAAATTTACATGGAAAACCCCTAAATAATATAGGGTAAAAACCACGGATAATGGTAGAAGAATTTCACTATGAGAAAATAGGAATTACAACTTCTCTCGATCTACCAAGGAGAAAACAATGATAATTCTCTCTTTATAAAAAGGAGAAAACAACTCTTAAGAAACTCTCTAAATTCTCTCTAGTATTGGAAGAAAGCTAGAATGCTTTGGGATGATTTTGAAGATAAATGAGCTAGGGTATTTATAGTTGAAGCTTAAGGACTAGTTTATAAATACCCTAAATTACAATAACTAAAATTGAGATTTTACCATTTCAAAAGTCATCAAAATCATGCTGCTAATTGCTCCAATTTTCCAACCAAATTTAGGTGAAATTATTTTGTTTGTTTTTTTCAAACTTTTCACTGAAAGTTTGGTGGCAGCAGCTAATTTGGACTTTCCAAATTTGTATTTCAACATTAAAAACCGCTAAAATTCTCCTCATAAGATAATATGATATCGCCCAAATCCTATTCCACACATCTGGGAATTGATCGTAATTATGAATTGAAGAGTTGTAATTAGTAAAAGTTTTGATATATTTTTTAATTCCTTTTTTAAAATTAATTGGTATCCGATTTTTTGATCGACTAATCCAGATCGGATACTGTAGAGGCAATGATGACCCTCCAAACCCAGTTTGCTCCATTCACAAACACCAGGATTCAATCCCCTAACCTTGCTTAAGGTTTACATTTACCCCTAACCTCCTCATGTGGGCGCATATGGGATCAGGGTAAATGTAAACCTTAGTTTTCGCTTTCTCCTTGGTCTTCTTCCCGAGCTTCGGGGGCAGATTATGTCATTCCTGTATGAAGGTCTAAGTTTGCTCCCTCTGGAACCCTTTGTTGCATACCTCACAGAAGAACATGTTTGTTTCCACTATGCTCTTGGGAGATAGTGCTACCACTTTCACGTCTGGATCTGTCATCATTGCCATATGTCTAAATTATACCTCAAAGCTAATGATTTATGAAATGAGATTAGGGTAAAGAACACTAAGGTGTATTGACACTCTCTGTTGTGGTTTTCGCTCCTCATCCCCAAACATAGTCTAATTGCATGGATGGCTTTCCTTGATCGCTTTCCACTAAAGAAAGGCTCAATCGAATGGGGCTAGTTAATGACCTTCACTGCACGCTTTGCGGAGTAGGATTTGAAACTAGAAACCATTTATTTTTTGAATGTCTGATTGATACTGCTTTATGGACTGTTATCTTTGAAATCAATGGTATTCGATTTAGACACACTTCTTGGGAAACTCTCTATGATTAGGCTATTGCTACTTGGAAGGGCAAATCCCTTCTCACTTCTTTAATGAAAATCTCTTCCAATGCTCTAATTTACACAATCTGGAAAGAAAGGAACACGAGAATCTTCTAAGGTCAAGCTTCCACTGTTGATGTTATGTTCAAAGCTATCAAGGAAACGGTTGGATTTCATCTAAGGGGAAGGCCTATCAATAGATTAGATGTTGTAAATATTAATCTTTGTAACCAATGGGGTATAATTTGATTTTACTTGTTTGCCATTTTTGATTTGGGGGCAATCCTTGTACTCCGAACACTCATTGTTCTTTTGAAGCAGTTCATTGCTCTTTGGGTAATAAAAACTAAATTATCCAAAAAAAACATTTCGAAAGTTACACTTTTAGGTACTTTGATCATAATGATCGTTTAATTTGACCTATCTGACACGTATCACGTATAAAAAATTTTAAAAAATATTTTATTTAAACAACCTTAATATTACAATTAAACAAAACTCACAAAAAACTCTAATTTTATATCTTTCGTTGTCGATTGACCACCGTCAGCCCATGGGCATCATTATTGACACCATCAAAATTAATTCGCTGCCGCGACCAAAACTCAGTCCCCCACATACCGTGAAACTACACCTAGTATCGTGAAAAACGCTACGAAAGGTCGTTGGATTTCTAGGTTTATCGTTAATGTTTTCCAGCGATTTTGAAGGCTACAACTGTCCGCACGTTAAATGGTCACCACTGTTAAGTTCTTCATCCTGCTCTAAAATAAATTTGACCGGTGGTTACCTTTTGTCGTCGGAGGTAGGGGTATGGAAGGGTGAGGGATGATGCAGTGGTTTCACTTTTATTTTCTTTTAAATAATTTTTTTATTGTGAAAAAAATTGAAAATATATATAAATATAACAGTATGCTTCTAAAAGTGTAATGAAAAAAATGTTAGACACCTATTTTTAGTGAAAATTTCTAAAAGTGCAGTGAAGGTCATTAACTTTCGAAATGTTACATGCTCATTTTTAGAGAAAAATTCTTTAGGCATCAAAATATAATTTAAGGTATAATTTAGATACTAAAAATTGTATTAAACCTTAAGAATTCGATACTTACTTGGTGTTCCTGGTTGCTCTCTCTTCTTTTCTTTCCGAAGCGACGGCGGAGCTAGCGGCGGTGCTGTAGAACCGTGGTTTTGGTCTTCTTCTGTGATTCCATTGGAAGGCTCTGAGGAGGACGATGCCGCCATCTCTTAGCAAACCCTCTTCCCGTTTTCTTAGCTTCCATCTAGATCTTCCTCGACTAATCATCCACTAACCCACATAAGTCTGAATTACACATTCAACATCGAACAATTTATCCGACATTAGTTGACATAATTTCATAATTTTAGTACAGATTGATATAATTTTGTTACAATAAAGTCCTAATCATTTGTTTGGACAAAACAGTCGTAAAGAAATATATATAACAATATTATATGTTCGTTGTATTTGAACAAATATATTAGATGTTACTTGAGCACCCCAACGTTGACTATTGCTAAGGATGTATGCTAAAATAATATGTATATATATTCATTGGTTAAAAATAGATCGTACATATAATTAAATTATAACTCAAATTGAGCCTTGGATTAGTGATAAGTCTACTCATATTATATTTGATTAATAATTGGCAGTTCATAAATTCATATACCATGATTGAATCCTGCTTATATTCTAATTAACAACTTGATTAAGCAGAGGGGAGAAAAAGAAAAATTATATTTATTAGGTGCCACAAGAAGCAATAGATAGATCTAAGCTTACTACTAAGGTTGCATGAAGATGGGCCGGAGCCGGAGACCAACGATAACGCCTCGCTGCCACCGCTGATCTCACTCTGAGAAGAAGGATGGAGCAACGAGAGTGACAACGATAATTCACAGCCATCGCCTTCGCCGTAGTCTTTCCCCACATCTCTCCTAACATTCCGGTCATCATCGACATGTTTGCCGTCTATGTACTTGTTATCATCTACATCAACCTTGGAAAAGAAAGCACACCATTAACAGACAAGACTTGAATCATTTATGTTCTTCATCCTAATGAACTGGTGTTTGGAATGAAAACAAAACACTACGAAGAAACTAGGCAAGTAGGGTTGCAAGACATGGATATTCCCTGTCACCACCACTGGTCGTAAGATACGTATTGGAACTTAGCCCAACATTACACTCAAGCCCATAAACAACAGCTGTCAATATATACGTATATGTATACGTATATGTATAGTTTGGTGTACCTTGAGGAAATGAGATTCTTCCAATGAATGATATTGTAAAGATTATGCGTCAGAGACAAGGTTGTGGCAATGGATTGACCTTCAGCGTGCTCCCATACGAAAGCACCATCACCATGCTTTATTCCTTTATCAACAGCCATTGTCTGCTGCACATAATCATCAACATAGTACGGATTCCGTCTGCATTTCAGATTCTGATCACGGATTGAACTCTTCGTCTCGATTCTAGCCCTGATGAGAAAAAATAAAGGGAAAAGAAAAGAAATCAAAGAGAATTTCAAGAGAAAAAGATGGTGCAATAATACATTATTAACTTTATGTATAAATACATGAAAGGGAATAAAGCTAAGCTGACCTTTTTGAAGGAAGATCAGGACTGTATATCGGTTGAGAATCTGATTCTTCAATCCGCTTTGAAGCATCCACATATCCAGCATGTTTCTCAGGAGATTGTGTTCTTTGATGGGGTGAACTCCTATCTGTTTCATTTTAAGTGAACCCCAAAAAACCAACAACAAATTTGTTTTGAGTTATGATGTTTCATGGTCAAGTAATGGGGTTTCATCAGACATGCCAAGAGTGGATGATTTGGGAAGTGAACCAAGTTACCGGGCTGTTCATGTCAATTTTGGCATCAATGAAAGAGAAAAAAGGAGATAATAAAGGAATCTAGCTCGTTCTTCTTCTTCTTTTATCAAAAATTGTGTAGAAATGGAGTTTATGATCTTTGATTTCTAACACCAGAAAACAAGCCATTAGAAGAAACTCAAGAAGGTACTACCTTGTCTGCTAACATCACTTCTCATGCTCCTATACATCTGCTTAGAAAACGAAAAAAGGAAAACAAAAAACCCATGTGAATGAACAAAATGATCAAAGGGAAGAGAATAAACAAAAGTGAAAACAGCATGGAACACCTGAAGATGGCTTTTCACATGAGAAATGGTGAGTCCCTTCACATCCATGAGTTGAAGAACGAGTTTCGGTGTAGCTTCTGCCAAAAAAAGAGAGAGAAAAACTCATTATTTCAACACTCAAACACACGAAACAAGCTGTAGAAGAAGAAGAAGATGAAGATGTAGAAGAAGAAGAAGAAAAAAGGCAGTACTGAAACTTACTGCCATGTCCACCCAGCCTCTCGATGGCCTGAACGAAACATTGGTGGAGCTGGGGCGTCCATCTCAAACGAGGAACCTTCGATCTTATGTACTGCCTCACTGCACCACTCCTCCCAAAACTACCCATTTCCCTTTGTTTTTTCAGAAGAAAAAAATCCTCAAAATGGGCGTGCAAAAGTTCACTCCTTTATTCCCGGAGATATATCCTTTCGAAGCTTTCACCAAGATTCTCAGCTAATAACACTCTTAAACACGATCACTTTGCAATAAAAGCAGCAAGAGAGGAAAAAGGAACAAGAAAAGATCACGAGGCGAAGCACTGTAAAATTCCTTAAGAAGCACTGATCATGCCTGCAAAAAATACTGATAATACACTTTCCTCAGATAAAATAAAATCCAAAAAAAAACTGAAATTATATATTAAAAACGTTTTAAACCCCAGATTTTAGATCAACAACTCCCTATCACCAGTTTCTCTGATCTGTCTTCCCTGAAATTATTACCCCCTCACCCAACTGCTTCCCATTGACCTTTTGCTTCTCCTCCCTTTTTTTCCCCTGTACGTAAATACAGAGGCTATCAATTATTTTTTTTTCATGCAGAACAAAATAATTATATATATACATAATATCTATAATACTGCCAACGTCGACGTGATGATGTGAAGGTAATTAATTAATAAATAAATATGAGATGAAAGCTCAAAGGAAGACAAGTGTAGGACGACCAACGCCGTCCATCAACGGAAAAAGAATCAACGGTGATGCAGTGTTCCATATACAGAAAATGGGGAATAAGGAATTTACATTGTCAATTCAATTCAATTTTGGACACAAAACGTCATCCCCTCATTCATCCAATCAATCACCTATTTTTTATTAAATTAAATTAATTATAAAATGATATATATTTTAAATATTATTATTATTTTGATAATAAATACTCAATTATTATATTAAAGTTGTAGATATTTAAATCTTTAACTTTTAAAAATAATAACATTTCTTTAATTATTGAATTAATTTGATTTAGGCAAATCAATCACCTATTATTTTAAAAAATAAGACACGATAATAAAACCTTTTATTTAGTGTTTTATCGATTCACGAAATATATAAAAAAAATTAGAGAATATAACTTTTATAATATAATATTATTTTTTAGTTCATATTACACTTATCTATTTGACTGTGAGAGAAAATATATCTTTTAAAAAATCGTAATTGAAGAAAAATTAAATACTTTAATTATCAATTAAATTAGATACATTTTCCCATTTAACAATTTATCACACATAAATAAATGTGTCTAATCATGAGGGGACAGTGTGGTTCATGGCAGGACAAAACGCATTTACTAAAACGAGCAGGGCTAAGAACTGCACCTATTGCCCATATAAAAATGGATCGTACACGCACACAGTGCTATTTTTGGCCTTTTTACCTAAAAATTACTGTAATAGTAAATAATTATTTATTAGATATAATTTCTTCAAATATTATTGATCGGATATATTTTCTGATAAGTGGACAAAAGATGTGAAATAGAAAGCGCACTTTTTATTAGGTTATGTATGAGCTGGAATCAAAGTAGAAAGGTGCGGCTCATGAAACGAGCCTTCCCATGATTTTCTCACACGAAAAAAAAAGCAAATATCATGAAATGCGTATTCTATTATTCTCCTTGAATTATTGTCTTTACCATTCAACTCTCTCGGCCAATTATTCATCCCCTCTTTTATAAATACTTCCTCAAATCCAAATCTTAAACCACATCAAAATTATTTTCACATTCTTCCTTTTATCAATTTCTTCTATTAAACTAATTAGATTTTGTTATAATTTTTAAGAGGTAAAATTATTTTTATTATATTATATTTATTTTATATTTAATTATTTAATTAAATTTTATTGTACTAATTATTTTATTATTATTTTTTGTGATTGTAAAACGGAAGGCGGGATCATATCTCGAGATATTTTATCGATGCGATAATAATATTAAATTATATAATTTAAATTATTCTAAGTACTTTTTAATTTTTTTAGTATTAGTTTATATTTTAATTTGTATATTATTTATTTAATTAAGAGAATGATCATACATTAGAAATAATTATTTATTTTTGTAGATATAAGACTCACAATCTTTCAAACTCTTAAAATGAGGTGTATTTTTGTTATTGTTTATTATGATAGAAATTCGAGATGATTAAACCAACGTTGTCTTCGCATCAAATCATTATGTCACCTTATCCTTAAAGAGAATCATCATTCTTGAGGATCCGATCACTAAAATTTCAAAGAATATTCATGTTGGGAGTAGTAGAAGATTGTCCTCACTTTAGTACTAGAAAATTGTCCTCACTTTAGTACTAGAAGATTGTCCTCACTTTCGTACAGATTTTTTATTATACTATTTCTGGTAACTTATACAACATTTGTACTCTCCAACGATTACGATGTTGCTATGATGGTTGATGCTCATAATCAAAACTCATACACTATTACACAAATGTATGCCACATTTATTGAAGTGTATGCGGTTTCTGGTATATCATTATGCTCTCACTATGAGCTGGCTCAACAAGCTGATCAAGTTGGCAACCCAACTTAAGTAATGTATAATGATTTTTTCCTCGTTAATGAAAAAGCCACATCTTGGTACCATTCCATCAAGTTCAATGGGGAAACATTCATCAACAACTTGTTACGATCTGTACTAAGATGGCTCCACGAATAATTCGTATGACAACATCACTTCCAGTTCAAGGGGAAGACATTCATCTACCAATTTCTTTGACCTGAATATGGAGATGCCCTCGACCTAACAATCTATTCAATACCCATTTGACATGATGCCCTCAAGTTCTAGGGGGAGGCATTCAACTACGAACTTCTTCTACCTCAATGTGGAGATGTATAAGACACAACACTCAATTCAAAAATAGTATGACACGATGCCTTCAAGTTCAAACGAAAGTCATTCAACTACCAATTTGGACCTAAATATTAGCATCACGGAGGAACCCTCATCTCCACCAGAAGAACGAACCTCTTCGTGAGCCAAGTGTGGATGGTGCTGAGATTGGATTAATCGTTGAGTCATAATCATCACAGTTCAACATGGATTCCGATGATGATGATGTAAATGAAGTTCCCACAAATACGGTACACATTGAACCCCCAACAAATATGTATGAAGCTGACTATGATGCATTGTACGGGCTAGAATTTATGAATATGCCTAATGTTGGTGACTACGGAATTAACTCATTAGTAAATGATAGTGAGTTTCCATCTAAAGAATAAGCAATGATTGCAATTAATAATTACAACATTTATAATTTTGTTCACTAAAGAGTTGACACATAGGTTACGAACTATTACCTCAAACGTTTGAGTTCATGTTTTAAAATTTGCGACGAAAAAACGAGCAATGATACAATTATATCAGCCTCATCAACAAAGCAATGTAGATAAAGGCATACGATGACTGATATCAATATGAACATATGACAACTAATATAGTGAGGCTATCAATTTGACCTTAAAAGGGTGTGTCATTTACCATTAACAACTTTGGTTAAAACGATGTAGTTTCATTTACGATTGTACCAGATCTATCCTTAGTAAGGGAGGCATACCTTCCAAAATCCACTCAAATTCATTGTGATATGGATATTCAAGAGACGTCCAAAGAAAACAAAAAATGTGGGCATTGTAGAAACCTAGGTCACAATAGGAAAAAATGTCCATATCTTTTATCATCACGTAACCGTTGAGCATCACCATGTAATTGTGGTTTCTGAAATATCAGCTTGTGTTATTTCATTTTCGTTTACTTTCAATTAATGTCATTTGAGCATCACTAAATAAATAGAAACAATAAATATATTAAGAAAATTAAATAAAAACATTACAAACTAAAATAAGCAAACAAAAGTCCATAATTAACTAATAAATAAAAAGTTAATAATTCATTACATTTGCTGATAAACAAACAAAATAAATAAAAAGTCTATCGATGTATGTGTTTTGATAAAAAAATCTATCGATGAATGTGTTCCACATGGCAGTGACTGTCTATTTTGATAAGGGTTTCTTCGTATAACTTGTTATTCTTCCTCACTCTCATCATCATCCACAACAGCAGTAGTACCTACATTTTATTGATGAAGGACAAATGACGATGTAACACCTCCATAGAATAAGTACCCTAGAGGTGTACGACTAACTATCCCACCGCTCATAGAGAATTGTGAAAAATACGAAAACATCGACATTAGTGACTACGATCCATACTGAGCCAGAAGTGTCTATGTCTGTGGTAAAATATCACCAGTGAAATAAGCAACATATGAAGCCCATGCTGGATCCATAAGCATGCCAGTATAATATCCACCAGGAGATGTCATAAAACCCTGTGTTTTTGGCATCTGAATCGATTGCGGTAGTGTTTGAAACGGTTACGGTGTTATCTGAAACAGCTGCAATGCCATATAAACCGACGGTGGACCAATGTATAGTGGCGGGCTGAGAATGTAAACAGCTGTAAGCAGTGGATGTTATGATGGTTTTGGTGCTTCAGTTGAGGACGAGCCAAAAGCACATGCTCTCCGTCAGCGAGTCGGGAGACGTGATACTGTGACGATGGATGCTTTTCTCGACATCGATGAATGTTCCTGCCTCGTGCTTTCTCGGAAAGTATGAATGACTTCTCGTATATATTGAACCACTGATAATAGTCAGCCATAACTGAATAATGATCCACATAAATCGGATCTGTATAGGGAATATGTCGACGTTGATCCTTCCAGATCATTATCCACTCGATGTGCTTGATTATGGCATCCTGTTTACCCCATCTATCGATGTTATGCATATTGTCGAGATTTCTAGGTTCTTCATGAATATATTGTACGAAGCCAAATTGGTGGATTACTCGATCAGCAGGATGCCACTCGACAATAGCATAACATATCAGAGGGACCACTGCCATTCATACATCTAATGAGCCACTCAAGTAAGGTGGGATGCAAAGCCTTATTTCTTTAGTAAAATAAGGAGCACATTGAAACTAAAACAAATATATATATAATTCTTATAAAAATAATATTCTAATTATATAATGACAATTAAAGGTAAATAATAAAATGTAAATACATATCTATATACCAGCCTTCTGATCAGTGAGTAGCCGATTTTTTTTCAATTCGTCTGGTATATCACGTTGATTTTCCTTGTACATGACCATATATTCAATGTAAAAAAATATTTCATTATATACTCAAAAGAAAATTATTTATATACGAACTCAATATTGAAATTACCTCAACAATAACTGGAAGACCAATGAGATATTCACGACCGAACATAAAAAGGGCATATGATATCACGCCCATGACTGAAGAAGAATTAGACATCTGTCAATAGCTTTTTTTCGATAATCAATTTCCCGACACATTTCTTTATACAGAGATGCCAAAACAACGAAGCCCCAAATGAGTGAGCCGACAATATGAAAATCTTCGAGGTGACGCAACAACATACAATGAATTTGGTTACGAGATTTGTCAGACATCAAGATTCCTCCTATGATTTGTAATATGCGAGCCAAATCAAATATTTTAGCATGTTCCTTAGAACAATCTTCACTCTAATGTTGAAATTTGTAGTCTACTATGATAATGATATTCGAACACCGTTGAAATTAGGTAGGATACCTCCAAAATACTCATCGCATAAGGAATGTCAATCACCATGCACCACACTAGAAATAACATCCCCATATATCAAAAGCTACAAATGTATTGAAACATCCTCCAACGTAATAGTGCACTCCCCCACGAAAGATAGAATGTGTGTGTCTCTGGTCTCCACCTTTCAATCAGAGCATAAATAAGGTTGGGTTCAAGGTTACAGTTCCCTTCATATTTTTCTTTGTAACTGAATCCAGCCTCTGCTAAATACAACCAGACACAACTCGGTATCTCTAACTTAACGTTACGAATAAATGGATCTAATATATTATCATTCCCCTAATTAAATAAATAATATACAAATTAAAATATAAATTAATAATAAAAAAAAATAAAACATTCACAATAATTATAATAATACAATTTAAAATTGTTATTGTATCGATAAAATGACTCGAAATATGATTTTCATCTAAACGCAACAACCCGCCTTCCATTTTATAACTGTAAAAAGTTAAAAAAAATAGTACAATAAAATATAATAAAATAATAAACTATTAAATGATTATAATATAGTAAAAATATTACCTTCAAAAAACAATAATAAAACTTACTTAAAGTTTGATAGAAGGATTGATAAAAAGAAGAATGAGAATTTTTTTTGTGTGTTTTGAGGGTTGTATAAGAGGGTATTTATAAAAGAGGAGACGAACGGTATTAAAGGGTAGGTGAAAATTAAGGAGAGGAGGACGGACGGTTGGACGATATCAAAGGGGTATTGAAGGAAGGCACACCTCATAAATCACGCCTTCCCCCACGTATCAAATTTCTCCACGAAGACATGTTTCGTGAGTCGCATCTTTCCACAGTGACGTCAGCTCGGACGTAATTTCAAAAAGATGCGCTTGCCGATCCGTGTTTTCTGTCCACCTATCAGAAAGAGTATTAAATCGATAATATTTAAAGAAATAATATCTGACAAATAATTATTTACTGTTAAAATAATTTTTGAGTAAAAACGCCTCCGTCTTAATGTTTTCTTTCAATCTCCTCGGGATATTTACCTGCATTCATTCTTGCTTCCCGTTGGGCCGCTGCCAATAAATACAAAGAGTTCCCATTTTCTCTTTGCTTATAGGAATTAGTAAACTTGCTTTGCCGTAGCTTTCCTTTTTTTCCGACGTCCGAGGACCGGTTCTTTGCCATGATTATTTGGCTCAGTCGAGTAAGCTTTGCTTTCGCTTTGACTTCTTCGCTGGTGCAATGTTATCGAGCAAAATGGGCATTCTTTTACGTGGTAATCAGGTATCGTATCTGGTTGATGGTGAAAAGACGATGCATGGGAATCATTGTACTAAAATTTAAAATTTACGATATTAATTTATTATTATTTTTATAAAAAATAATATTCAGGTGTGGCCTCATACATATTATTTTAGATCAAATATTAAATATAATTCAATATATTAAAAGAAGACAAAAGAAATTTATATATCTATTATATTAAAAAAATATTAAAATTTTTAGATATATCTCTGAATTTTTAGATCAACCACTTACACATACGATGATTGAAGAAAATATATAGGGCCCATATCTTTTGACTTTCCATCTATAAAGATTGGAATTGATTTAATTAGAAATCTAATACTAATAATTAACAAAAAGGAAAGGTTTGGTTAGCCACTATTCATGCACGTAAAAAGAAAGAGTCAAGGGTGATTAACTTTGTTGTAAGTTAGGTTTATAGATAATCCACTAAAATCAAAGTATTAGTTTTTCTTTCTTCCTTTTGAAGCTTCCACACCATTCTATCAAACCTAAAACTTTTAAGGGCGGCTTAACGAGTTGAACATCTTGCGAGCGGTTTAAATTTGACCCGGATTGATTCAATTTAAATTTGAACTCGACATGAGATCTTAACAAGTTGAGTCGGACATTATTCAACTCAACTCGATAAGTTCGTGAGCATTTTGTTAATTTTTCTTTTTGTAAATTTTTAGTAATTACCTTAAAAAAATATTTCATTCACAAAAAAGAAAATCTAAATAATGATTACTTATTTTACTAATAGATAATAAAAATATATTTAAATTATTAATTATTAATTACTACAAATTTACTAATATATTAATTTCCTAATAAACAATAAGGAAAAAATTAATCAGTTTGAACATTCAAGAAAAATCAAAACCAGACATATGTAGCCCTAAAAACATAAAATACAGTTTAATAGCCATTTGATTCAACTGTTGGTTTGTAGACACTGATGTATCATTCACATGTAATAATGGAAGACGACTAATTTAATTAATAATTGGACAATGGTCTAACTTGTAGGTATCTGTTCATTTGGTTTCTTCTTCAACTATGCATGTGCATTGAGAAGAGAATGAATAATCTGAGGCCATATTGTTGAAACCACTGTAAGAACATATGTCTAAAATCATGTGTTTGATCATTTAACCTTATTCCATAAACAAAGTTGACGAGCAGCTGATTAAAGATCACAAGAAAGAAAAATGGTATCCTTTGCATGAGTCCAGGACGAACAGTTTCCACTTTTTAACGGATGACGACGACAAAAATCAAACATCCTGCGAAGCCGTTAAACCCTGCCGCATTTAAATCAGGTAACATAAGCATAAGTAGTAGAGAATGGGATAAAAACAATGAAAGTAAACTAGCAATGAAAAAACAATACTAGTTGAATGCAGTTTAGCAACTAAAATTGCCAGACCAATGAAGCAATATATTTCATCAGGAGGGACATGTGTAATACAACTGCAATTCAACCTTTGTCCCTCACGTCGCCAATGTATAAACATTGCATGCTAGAGCCGGCTTATGTCCTAAAAAGCGAAGCCCTTATTCTAAAGATATTACTATAGTAAGCATACTAAGGTATAACCAATGGGAATTGTTCATATGAACGACTGACATAGCACCGAGTTATTCTGATAACAGTGAATATATCACGAAGCCACAAGGCCTCGTATATTTTCACTTAATATTAGCATGAACATTCTGGCATTTATGATCTTCACTAATCCCTAGTAATTGAGATTCTAATCTAAGAAATTGTTGTGAGATTCAATTCCACACAATGCACCACAAAATGATAACTATCTCTGAGCTCTTTACCGTGTTTCTTTTCAAACTCATAACAGAAAGCGGCAATGTAATCTGGAAATGGGACTTAAAACAATGTCATTTAGATTCACTAACTCAGGCATCCTCAGATATCTCACTTAAAATATTACATTGGTCCCACTGAGGGGAACAACCGAGAACAATCAAACTAAATAATTAATCGAACTCGTCTCAAGTAGTTAACCGGGAAATTCCACTTTTCTACATGTGCATCTAAACCCTCGGTGTTCACCAATCACCAGTTGAACTTCAGTTTCCTTGTTAAGACATTAGATTTCTTCAATAAGATTAGTGGTTCGAATCTTAGTGTTTACGAATTAAACAAATTAGATTGGGAGAATCACCATCGCCTTTGCAGTACTCGATCCAGATTATTTTATTAATAGATCTTACACATGCTGTTAAGAAATCTTTAATTGTATATTTAACAAAACAACTCATTAGTTAAGAAATTATTATCATCTCTTGAGATTCCAAGTTCAAATACCACGTACACAAGATTATGAATGTTCATTATCAAATTGTTGAGTCTTAAAAAAAGACGGTTAAACTTAGTTGATATTCCTTTTAAATAATTTGAGTGATTATAAGATAGTATATGTTTAAAATATTTTTTAATCACTTATTGACAATGAACATACACCCTGAAAGGATGTATACATAGATGCTCAAGCCAAAACCTCTAGGAAAAACAAATTTCCTTTTTACCAACCGAAAACACAGTCGAATGGTCACAGCCTGCAACTTTTATCATACCTATGTAAACAAGAATGAATGCCAACACCTTCAATCAAACCAGAATAGTTTAGTCCAAATACGGAGGATGTCATATAATTGAAAAACATGCAGTATTTTATGTACAACCAGCTGGGAACAGAAACTAAAATCAATACAATAAGTTACAAGACAGTCACTTTTCCAAGTGGAAGGATGTCCCTAGATTGAGATGCATGAAGTTTTTATCTCAAAATAACATTACAGCTGAAATTCTCTCCATATCAGAAGGAACTTTAAGAAGCCTTCTTCTGCTTGTACCTGGAAGCGCAGAAGGTGTACACCGACAAGTTCAGTAAGCTGAGGGCAGCCAAGAGCCAGAAGAAATAGTCGAGATGACCCTCGTTAAGGTTGTCCGGTATCCAACCAACTTGGCCGCCTTTTGTTGTGAAGTAGGTTACAACAGTCAGAATGAAAGAACTCAGGTAATTGCCCAAAGCTGTAGTTAGGAGTGCAAGCGCACTGCATAAACTACGCATGGCATCAGGGGACTGATCATAGAAGAACTCGATCTGTCCGATAAATGTGCAGACCTCTGCCGCACCCAACAAGAAATATTGAGGTATTTGCCAAAGAATACTGAGGGGTACTGCTACCTGTTTATCAACCAAATCTAGCTCTTCTGCGAGCTGCAACCTCCTGATCTCCACCACAGCAGCGGCTGACATGCATAGGAATGAAATAAAGAGACCGATTCCCATACGCTGCAACTCTGAGAAGCCCCGTTCCTTGCCTGTGAACTTTCTCGCTATCGGGACAATTATCGTATCATAGACGGGAACCCAAAAAATGACACTGAAAATATCAAAAGTTGAGAGGGAAGCAGGAGGAATAGAGAAAGAACCAATCTTTGTATCCATCATCATCCCTTGTTCCACAAACATAGTCGACATTTGGGCATAAACAGCAGAGAACACAATTATAGTAGCCCAGACAGGAAACATGCGGATCAAAATTTTCAATTCCTCTACTTGTGTTACAGTGCAAAGCCTCCAGGAGTTTGAAAAGTCCCCACTTTTGGTTTCAACATCACTGACTATGGCAGCTTTATCTAGGCACCTGTAACAAGATGGGATTACCAAAACTAACAAAGGTTGAGATCAATCATTCAAAACTCGGAAAATAAATTAAGGAACTTTACTTCAAATCATCACTGTGCTCCAGTTTCCGACTTCCTTCAATGGCAGAGTGCTTATCACTGGCTTCATACAGGAGAGTACTATCTTCAGGTACCTCAAGATGCCATTTATGAAATGCAGCAACCACGACCTGACACATTCTTGTAATAGGGCTTCCTCCAGGTCTCTGAAATCTATAGAGAGATGTGCCTGAAAAGAAACTTCCAATAGCAAGGCCCATAAACAATGCTGGAATGCCAAATCCAAGACCCCATCCAACATTGTCCTGAATCCACACCAGAAAACTGCTTGATATCAGAGAGCCGATGTTGACCGAAAAATAGAACCAGTTGAAGAAGGACCCCTTCTTCACCCTTTCTTTGGGATCAGTATCATCAAACTGATCAGCCCCAAAGGATGAGACACAGGGTTTGATTCCACCCGTCCCTAATGCAATCAGATAGAGCCCAAAGAAAAATACAGCATACTGAGCTGGGGTAGCCGAGGGACAAATAGATCCCATGCATTCAGCAGGCTTCAGTGCAGGAATTGATGCTGAGAGAGTCAATGTACACATTCCCTGAATCGAATAGTAAATGTGTTATCGAATGCATCAGAAAGCGAAAACAAAACATATAAATAACGCACCCATTTTAATTAAATATAAGTGCCAGAATCCATTAGTCAATAACATGAAATGATGTCAAATTGATGTCCTCACATAGCCAAAAGTCAAATTCTTTGCCACATAAAGTGTTGGAAGATATTATAAGGAAAGAGAGATAAATTCCCTCAAATATGTTATCATTCATTGAAACTTTCTGTAAAAAATGGTAATTAAATATTCGAAAAGGGGTCAAAATGTTTCCGTATACGACTTAAACACAGAATATACACACCAAAACGACTAGCTATGAAAATGGAGAACTATGCATTAATTTAATTAGCATGTGAAGGGCCATGTAAACAAAATCAGGGTTAATGACATGATGAAAATTGCAGAAAACACAATGTCAAAAGGGAAAAGTTTCTTCTACGACCTAACACCAAAACAACTGGCTATGAAAACGGAGATTCATGCATTAATTTAAATAGCATGTGAAGGATCATGTAAAGAAAATCAGAGTTAATGGCAATACGGCATGATGAAAATTGAAGAAAACGCAATGTAAAAAAAGAACAGCAACCAAAGACTATGCACCTAGGTGCTAGCTCAACTTCATGACAGGTACTTCAACATAATGAAGCAATAATTACACAACATACCTCATATATAACTAATTAGAGCATAAAACCAACAAGCATATAAATAGAATAAAAGGAGATAATTAATGTAAATTATATTACAATGAAGTAGATGGTGGAGAAGGCAGCTATTGTCCAATATCTTCCCCAATATGCATCTGCTAATACAGCTCCAATGAGAGGTGTAAGGTAGCAGGTTCCTTGCCAAGTGGTCACATTTCTCGCAGCCGATACATTTCCTTCATGCAGTTTCTTGGTCAAATAGCTCACAAGATTAGTCGCTATCCCATAATAAGCCAACCTCTCACAGCATTCATTACCTACATTTACATGAAAATTTGACATAAGATCAGCTTCCTCAAACAAAATCCATACAAAGAAAGAGACAAAAACAAGATAAAATATTCACCCAAAATGAAAGGGCATGCTTTCCAATTTCCAGTATTCTGCTTCAGAACAGGATTCCCATTGAAGTCAACGGAGCCATCCCCGGTGTAAAGCGCACTGCTTTCAGCCTGGAAACGCAAGAAATCGAAACACAAATCCCAGGATAAAGAATTGCAACAACAATAAACAACAAACCCATAATTTTAACCATTGTCAAAGGTGTCTGGAGCAAAATCAAATGGGGGAGGCAAAGAAATTTCGGATAAGATTAAATAAGAAAAACCTGATCAACATGTCCAGCTTCCAAAAGCGATCTCTCTTCATCGACAGATCCCATGATTGTTTTCGCAACGAGAACCAGTCAAGAGATCTAAGAGATTCAAAATCCTCAAAAAAAAAATATCAGGGAAGATTAGGGACAAAACGTTATAGTAATTGCAGATAAAAAAGCATTGGGTACGCATAAAGATGCGTATACGGCTTTACCTTCTTAGACGGGTACCGTAATTTCAAACACTTTTGAAATCCAAGGGAATGGATGGAATCCTTGAGGTTTCATTGATTTGACAAAGGTGGAGCATGGATTATGGAAGTCGACGATCGGTGTTAAACGTTTTTTTTTAATAATACGTGGGGATCGATCATATAATTTTTTTTTTTGTATATAACATATCCAATTTATTAATTAATTAATTTAGTTCGATTAATGCAGAGTTAAAAGTGACTCTCTCTAATTTATTTTATTCGAAATTATCAGAATTTAAACTCCTAATATTAATTAAGAGATCTAATGTCTCGTACTACTAAATTGATTGATTGTTGGTTAAAATATCATATAATAATATCTATTTAAAATTATTTTTAATCATTATATATTTTAAAGATATAACTGCTCAAATTAATAATTTTTTTAAGGAATAACAATATATTTTTTTAACGTTGAAGCAACTCAATGTATTCTTGGTATTAAATGCTTAAACATGTTTGACTGATTTTTTCTATATGTTATGTCGATAATAGTATCAATTGAATTAAGTTCAATCATTAAAATAATGATAAATTTAAATAAAATATAATGTTAAAATTAATCTGTAACATTTGTTGGAATAGTCATTCTATTTCATAATATATTTCTTAACACTTTAACCTTCAATATTTTAATTTTTAGTTGAAATAATCTCTATTAGATGTTCTTGACATGATAATTTTACATATGATAAATTACTGTGTGTCACATGACATGTCACTCAATATAATGATATGGTATGTATCATGTCATTAAAAGTGATGATGTGTACATGTCACATCATTTAATATTGTGATGATGTGGCATGAGATATGTCATTATATTAAGCACATCTAAAAATATCATACAAGAACATATGTTGAGCATTAATAAACTAATAATTTTTAACGGTGAGGTATTAAAATGAAACAAAAATTAAATTGTAGGTATAATTTGTTGGGAAAATTCGATAATTTTGGAGCTTTGAATAATAAATTGAACCAAATGTTTTTGATGAAAATGTGAAACCAATTGTTGGTTCGTAAATGTGCAGATGTGCACGATATGAGTAACGTGAATGTTCGAACCGATCTAGCTCTTTGTGGGCTTGTGGATATTTTAACCTAAATATGAAATATTTTCCTCAAATAGAAAATATCTTTTCAAAATCTGTTTTGGAATTAAAATGATAAATATTAAAAAGTTTCTTTAATCAAAATCGTAATTTTGGAAATTACTTAATTGCTTAATTCTCATTAATGCTTTATTAGGTCAAAAATTTTCAATTGTTCACAATGTAAACTCCCTATAAATATAGTGTTAACCTACTAGGTTAAATACAATTCAAACCAATTCAAAAGAATTATTTTTTATAGTTTTTTGTGATAGGCGAAGGCAAGAAATAGTTCGTGATCTCGATAGTTGTGCTATTGTGCGTTGATCATCTCGTTTTTGTATCCTAGGAGACAGACAACCAAAGATCTCGAGCACCAAGGAGTGGTCGAAAATCTGTCTTAAGGAAACTGCGTAATTGCAGACCTCAACTTATTTCTATTCATATATTTATGATTTTCTATTCATATTATTTAATCGAATATTTTTCATGTTATTATTTGTGTTTATTTTATTCTTGTTTCATCTACACGAATTTTGCGACGAGATCATGTCGTTAAGTTAAATGTCATTTTCCGCGAAATCAAATTGTGAATCTATAAAGTATTTGATTTTATGTTTTATTTTCGTCTCGGATTGTTATACATCTAACATGATTTTTAAAAATTTAAAGTTCAAGTACTGAAACGAACCAAAAGTGATAGTTTAAGTACTAAACACATACTCTACCCTTTATAATTATACGAGCTTTACGCAATGTTGTAGGCTTGGGAGTTTTTGGATTTTAAATTTAAGTTTTATTTATTTATTTATTAATAAGGGAAGAAGGAATGAGATGTTCGTAATGGAATTAATAATTTAATGTCAATCAAGAGATACTAACATTAACTACTTTGAAATAATTTAATATTGTTTATAAATATTTTTCTAAGCTTTCGGCCAATTGACATAGGAACATAAATGTTGACAGTCAAGTCCAACGTTCAAAGCCCTATGGGTTTTTTTTTTTTGGAATAGCCCTAATTAATCTAAATTGATTCGAGTCACACACCTGATTTTGATGGATAAATTTTTTGGCGAAGATTTCTACACATACAGACTCGAACCTAAGACCTTACTTAAGTGATATCAAATTACTTACCACTTAAACTAATCCCGTTGGAGAGAACTATTGATTGACCAACTCCCTCATGCACTCATTGTACTTTATTATAAAATGAGCCACGACACAACCACTAGGCCCTGTTTGGCAGTGTTAGATATTTTTTTAATTACATCTCTTAATCTTATTCTTGCCCCACTAATCTTATTATAATACTACTATTTTCTTTATAATAATTTATAATTTTTAATAGTCGAATTACTTAACAAAGCAATATACTATAATCGGAAGATCACTTTAGAAATTTTAATAGTCGAGAGATTTCATAAAACAATATCCTATAGTTGAAGGATCATTTATGTACTTTATCCAATAAAATAATCATAGAATAAAATATTAATTTAAACAAACTTTGAGCAGTTATTTTTCAGTTAAACCTTAAAGAAAAGATGTTAAAGAACATTTCTCCACTCATCCAAAAAAAAAAATGAACCTCTCCATTAATTAAGATGACAAAGAATCAATCCAAAAATGAACCAAACGATGCTCAAGATGCCATGGTGCCATCATGGGCACGAAAGTTCCCTCTCATCCGTGGGAAACTGGAAAACTATAAACCATGGCTGCGATGACTTTCTTTGACCTCTGGGTTTTCTCATTCCTAAAATAAAATTCCATTTTTTTTCTTTTTCTGAAATATATTTTCTCGAGAAAGTGTCAAATGGAACAATTTCTCCCCCATTTCATCCCTATAAATACCCAATTGCTTCCTTCACCAAGCAAGCAACAGTTCAAGCTTTACAAACAGGGAAAAAAAGAACCTTTCTTTCATCTCTTTCTCAATTCATCGATTGATTATCAGTGTTTTTTAGACATCAACGATGGTGCTTTCTAAGACAGCTTCTCAAACTGATGTCTCTGTTCATTCAACTTTTGCCTCTCGTTATGTCCGAAACTCACTTCCAAGGTAACCCCCTTGATCGATCTCCGGGTTTCAATCCAAGTAAAAGGGTATGTTTTGATGGTGAAAAGAATATTTGCAGGTTCAAAATGCCGGAAGAGTCGATACCGAAAGAAGCCGCGTATCAGATCATCAACGATGAACTGATGCTCGATGGTAACCCGAGGTTGAACCTTGCCTCTTTTGTCACCACCTGGATGGAGCCTGAATGCGATAAGCTTATCATGGATGCCGTTATCAAGAACTACGTCGACATGGACGAATACCCCGTCACCACCGAGCTTCAGGTAACGGCTTCGATTGTCTAAACTCCGAATGCTCCAATCTAATGGTGTCACTTGTGTGTGGAATGTAGCATAATCCATGTACTTTTTTTTTTATCAGAACCGTTGTGTGTGGAAATGGTCGATGAAAACACCATTTGTGTTGCAGCAATCCTGGGATCAACCCTTAATGGAGAATTTGAAGATGTCAAACTTTTGAATGATCTCTTGGTTGAGAAAAACAAGGAAACTGGGTAAATCTAAAAAAAACTGTCAGTTTATAAATTTGAATGACTTGAAACGATGACAAGTACTGAATTTGATCTTTTATGATGCAGATGGGATACCCCAATTCATGTTGATGCTGCTAGTGGTGGATTCATTGCACCATTTTTGTACCCAGAACTTGAATGGGATTTCAGGCTTCCACTTGTAAAGAGCATTAATGTGAGTGGCCACAAATATGGTCTGGTTTATGCTGGTATTGGTTGGGTTATCTGGAGAAGCAAGGACGATTTGCCTGATGAACTTATTTTCCATATCAATTACCTTGGAGCTGATCAACCCACTTTCACTCTCAATTTCTCCAAAGGTTCCAGCCAAGTCATTGCTCAGTATTACCAGCTAATCCGATTGGGTTACGAGGTACGGACTCGAGAATTGATCGTAACGAAACGGTTATCGACTTATCGTCGTTGTCGTCCGACTTACGACTCGATGTGTTTTCTTTACAGGGATACAGGAATGTGATGGAGAACTGTCATGAAAACGCCATGGTCCTAAAACGAGGATTGGAGAAAACAGGGCTGTTCAACATCGTGTCAAAGGACGAAGGGGTCCCGTTGGTGGCGTTTTCTCTCAAGGACAACAAGCGTCACGATGAGTTCGACATAGCCGAGATGCTACGCCGGTTCAGGTGGATTGTGCCGGCCTACACCATGCCGGCAGACGCGCAGCACATCACCGTGCTGCGCGTGGTCATAAGGGAAGACTTCTCCCGAACCTTGGCAGAGAGTCTCGTGAAGGACATAGAGAAGGTGCTGCACGAACTCGATACGCTTCCTGTCAAGGTTAATGCCAAGCTGGCTATGGCCGAGGAAGAGCATAGCAAGAATGGCACTGTGAAGAAGACCGCCATTGAAACCCAGAGGGAAATTACTGCTTACTGGAAGAAATTTGTCAGCGAGAGGAAGACTAACAAGAACAAGATATGTTAGAAAGTTATTGTAACACCAAGTTTTTTTATTTTTAATTTATCACTATGTTTCCACCTAAAATAGTAATATTCAGACGATGAGTTGTTGTCTTCCTGAGTTGAACCATTAATGAAAGGAATTATTTCATTTTGTGAGTCTGAAAACTGATTAAGCACTAACTAAGCACATCCTCGTTGTTTTGTTTGTGTTCTTGGTAAGTTTCAATGCATTGGTTCGGAATGTCGGTGCGCCTGGTGTGTGGCAGAACCCGATTAGGTCCGCTGCCGCGAGTTTAAGCCCCTGCTTGGGCGCAAGGGTCAAAGCCCCGCCTTCCCCCGCCTTCTTGCTGCGCCAGGGTTGGTGCTTTAATCAGGGCTGCATCACTGCATGGTTGCTGGGTGATTCATTCACTAATTAAGGCAGTTCTTCATATATTTATGTACGTATGTAAGCACTATTTCTAATGTAATCTTGGTTACATTAGTCATAGAGTTTACTTCTTATCATCTCTCGAATAGAACTAAGAACATCATCACCCCTCCTAATCCTAGCTATATAAAAATCTATGGTTACTCTCCATTTGAATCAACCTGTCCTTCGTTACCAAAATCCTCAAGACTAGGGATGGCAAACACGCAGGGCAGGTGGGTATACACCATTCTCTATCCCGATACGCATTTAATATTTTCGTATCCATCACTCACAATGGATAACTTTTTTAAATCTACACTTGCCCTTGTGGGTACATTCTTAAATCCATTCCCATCCCTGTTACCCAACTGAATACACAACATCCAACCCGTACCCACCTGTACCTACCCATATTTTCCTGACATCAACCTCATATATTACATAAGCAACAAAATATAAAACAAACACATCCATTAAGAAATATAATAAAATAAATCAAGGAATAATTGCGTTTATGCAACATTTGGTTAAATTACAAATTATGTCCTATAAAATATTAAGATTTACAGAATTATCTCCAAAATTATACCTAGATTCATAATTGTAATACCCAAAATTTTGATAAGTGACCAAAATGTAAAGTTTGGAAGTTTAGTGGCCAAAGTAGAATTTGATAAAAATAAGGACTAAAGTGGTAGTTTTTCTAAAAAGAAATTTTATTCCATAAATAAATGGTTCCTCTCTAAGAATGTATTCTCTATGAAATTCATATTTCGATTCAGAATTTGTGTAAAGAGCTATTAAACGATAAATTTCGGTAAATTATTCAGATAATCAGGTCGAACCAGAAGTTTGCAAAATTTGAAGGATGGTAGTATGGGGTTATAAATATTATATCTATATTTTTAATAATATAATTTAACATGGAACAATGAAATTAAGTGGATTTTTCAAGTTGAAGTTGGATAGTGAAAATTAAGTGGCTAAATTGAAATTTTGAAAAAGTAAAAGGACAAGGTGGAAATCAATAAATCTGATTTTTATATTGATATGATGTAAGTATGGTAATGAAAGCAGGGCAAAACGGTAGATATCTTTATTCATTAAGGGTAGAAATAGCTTTTGGACTAAAATAAATTTTAAATTCATGTTAATTAGAATTTATACAAGTGTACATAGATATCTTGAGAGATTTATCTAGAAATTTACCTTCTTCTTCCTATATATGTCGTGAACCATGGAAGAAAAAAAAAAGCAAGGTAAGTTTTCTTCATTTTTCTTCAATTTTAGTCATATTCCTTTGCTTTTTGAATTAAGTCATGAAATATAAAATGATCTATATTAAATTTTGTATCATTTGATATAAATATTAAATGTTTCTATGCTTAAATTATTCGTTTAGATGTTAGAGTGGATGATGAACAAGTTGGATTTTGATAATTTAAGGATAGATTTTTGTTTTAAAGATGTTATAGAGTTTTTTTCAAACTTAAATAATGATTAAAATCAATTGAAAATGTTTAAAGATGAATTTGATTAAGGTTAAGGTTTATGGAAAAGATTAATTTTTTTATTTTTTTATATGGAATTGATTGAGATTGCATGAAAATGATGATAGAAACTTGAATTTATGCATATGTATTCATTTGATAAGCTAATAGAATTAGTGAATAAGTTAAGAATGCAAATTAGTGAAATATGCCAATTGAAGCGGGTGTTATGCGAAATCCATGAAATGGTATCGGTCTGCCATCCCTACTAGGGATGGAGATGGGTCGGGTCGAATTTTCGATCCACCCTATCCAACCCGAAAATTATAAATCCTCCACTTGACCTGAAAAATATACACCTTCCACCCGACCTGATATAGACGCGATATTTTTGAGATAAAATTTGAACCTGACTCGACCATACCTGAAATAATATATTTATTAAAAATATATTATTTCTATTCAATAAAAATATGATTTAATTAAAAGAAAATAATATATAAAAGAGTATTATTGTAATTATCTCTAAATATATAAAATAAAATTATAATCTTTTTCGAGTCAGGTCAAGTTTGATGTTTTTTTACCATAAACCCGACTCGACCCAAACCTTAAAAGAATCTAACCCAAATCTTTTTTTAAAAAAAATTATTCGATTGGATCTGATCGAAACTCGTTAGGTTCGGTCTCATGCTCATCCCTAACCCCTACTCAAGACAATTAGTCAAGTTATTATTGCATGCTTAGATATATGCAAGAGTAACCATAACAAATAATGTATGTCAAGCAACTCTATTCTCTTTAAGTATAATCTCATCCCACATCATACGAGCATAAACTTCTTATCGTACTCATTAAAATTTTATAATTTACAATCTCATAAATTTTTTTATTTACTTCTAAAATTTCATACTTATAATATAAAATTTTACGATTGTTTTTATCCATATATTATTTTAGAAAAGAAAAATCGTTTCACACACAAAATGCAATGAGGGTAACACACATATTGAGACGAGGTTTTTGGACCGTGGAAACTCAATGTAATGGAAAAGGTTTGGTTCCACTTCTTCAGATCAATCGGTCATCTTGTTCTCCCCTCCTTGTACGTATGTTGCTGAAATATTGCACATTTCATGGACCCCGCAAGCATGCCAATATGTGGGCCCTCTATCGTCACCTATTAGACAAAAGACAGTAAAAGAAGAAAAAAGAATCCACCTGCATGGATTTTTAATAAGTGGGTCAAAGATGATAAAGGAAGCCTCTAACCGAGTCTATATATTTTCACAATGTGAAACGAATTTAGAAGATGATAGATATAGAAATATTTTATAAGATTAACATATATTTATCAATAATAAAAAACATTTTGCATGAAGTGGACTAAATAATGTTTCAAAATGAATACGTTCAGTAAAATAAATAACTAATCATAAAAAATCAGATTTTATTATAAACACATATCTACTCTGAATTTTATATACATCTACCACTTGATCTATATGGGTATAATAAAATTTAAAATAGAAAAAGAAAAAGAAAAGAAATACCCCCCACAATGGAGAGAATGTGCAAAGGCAAAAACTAAATGGAAAAGTTGCCCATAGGAGAAACGGTTGGTAACCATTTCAGAAGGAATGGAAAAAGAAAAAGAAAATAAAAAAAAAAGCTGAAATTTGAATTATGTCTATTCATGTTTTCTTTTGTCCTTTTCTTTTTATTTTGGGTAAAGTACACCAAGGTCATCAAACTATACACAAATCAAGTATGCCACGTGAATTGATCCGAATTAGTCATGACAAAACCTTAAAAACTGAAAGGGTAATAAAAAAATGTCCTTAAATTTATTACTATTTATAATATTACGGGACCATTATATAACAATTCTGTAAACTTGGTGAATATTTTGTAACATTTAAAAAATTATGGTAAAAGGGTAACCTTTGTCCCTGTAGTACACTTAATTTGTCATTTTCGTCCATATCGTATTTTCATATCAATTTAACCCTCAAAGTTATTCAATTGCATCATTCTATATCCTACCCTTAACTTAAAACCCTAAATTATAAACCCTAAGTTAAGATTTAGGGTTTAAGATTTATAGTTTAGATGTTATGGATTTATAGTTTAAGGTTTAGGGTTTATAATTTAGGGTTTACGATTAGGGTATAGAATGATGTAATTGAGCAATTTCGATGGCTAAATTGATGTGAAAATACGATAGGAACAAAAATGATAAATTGAATATACTACAGGGGCAAAGTTACCCTTTTGCCAAAAGTTATTAACTGGAAAACCATTTTAGCATAGGTCAGGGACCTTCGACGTGCTTTGCCCTTTTATTTTTCAATCTTCAAACAATCCCTTTGCTTTTACACGAAAAACAACACCATGTATGATATCATAAGTTTTGCAATTATTTAGTACCCCATATACCAAACCCCACATTTATGATTAAAATTCCAATCCCCACCCATTTGCAGAAACCCAAAAATAAATTAAAAATTATATTTTAAAAAAAAAAAGTTTCATATCCCAAGAAACGCATACTTTTGCTTCCCCTCTCTCCATTGCCGTTGACTGATCATCATGTAAATAATTTTCATCTTTTTTTTTTCTTCTTTAGCACACCCAATCAAACCATTACAAATTTACAGTAACATGGAAACATTGATGTGTGTGTTTCAGATGTTCATTTAGTTATTTAAGACAGAACCGTACCCTCATCCCCAACATATATACATAAGTGAGTTTCAGGTTAGCTCTATGGCTTATTACAATACTCCTACTTCCCTAGGTCGGGATCTTCAAAACCTTGGAGTTCTCAACGCAGACATGTCTTTAGGTACGAAAGCAGTGTCTTTTACTTTCTTTTATTGTCTCTCTTTCACTGTTTGTTTTTTGTTTTTGGGGTTTTAAAAATGGAGCTTATCATCTCTCTGCGTGTGAATGCAGTGATGGATGGAACTGGAACCGGAACCGCAATTTCCCCATGGTTTCCACTTGCAGATTTCTCTTCTGGGTATCTTGAAGATGCTTTGCTGGAATTCACGGAACGATCGAAACGAAGACGAGTGTTGCTGTACAATGATGATCATGATCAAGTCAATGGTTTCAATGATCTTGCAATGGTGATTTTTTGTTTTTTTGGAAATATTTTAGTT